ATAACTATGTTACTAAGGATCTTATTCAAGTATACAGAGGTTTTCTTTTTCTTGGTATTTCCTTATAATTTGAAAAATGAACTCTATATCTCAAAAAAAAATTCTGAAGTGAAAAACGTTCTAATTCCACGAAAAGTTTCTCATGAGACTGTTTCTCTATGATTTGAAATCAAAGGACTGTTAGCTAGGAGACAAATAGGCATACTATCACAATCATTGTTCATAAAAATTTCATTTCATTTCATTTCATCATCCTGTTATTCGTCGATTGCCTCGAGCAGGCCCCAGTAATGTCTCTTTCATCCTAGCCCTGAGATTATATTCAAGGCTCTTTAGGAGAATGAGACCCATCATTGTTACTGGTATTTGGCATATTTGGTACATCATGGGGAGTTTGCCAGACTCTGCCCTGTGGGCAGGCTACATTCGATAGCCTGCAAGTTTGTCCAAAGTAGGAATGAGATAATAAGATGTCATAAAAAAGATGTCCTGATAAGATGTCCCGCGGCGCGGTTCCGGGAGCTGGATTTTATAGTCTCTGAGTCTTGGCCATTGATGGGATTACACGGCGCCAGGGGGCCAGGTGGTGGGTGTGACCCCCGCCTACTGGAATTTGGAGGATCTGGGTGGCGGATGCTCGACTCCAATCTGAGTAGGCTTGGAGATCTCGGCCCCGGAACCCGCGTGGCTTTGTCCCTCTGCCAGTACCTTCATGTGTGCGGAGAGTGGTCTCAGCATGGTGGTGGCTGGTCCTGGAGGTCTTCGGCTGCCGGAGCCCTGGTCGGGGCGGGGAGGAAAGCTCAACCCGCTCCCCTCCAAGGGGGCCCGGCGAGGAACAGCCAGGCGCGGGGGCAGGAGACTTATAATAATGCTTATTAAATGTACTGTGCAATATAACCTGTGGTGCATAAAGGCCTGCTAGTTCTTTAAAAGAATTTGTAGAGGCATTTGCCTTGCACATGGCCAACCTGGGTTAGATTCCTGGCATCCCATATGGTCCCCTGAGCACGGCCAGTAGTAATTCCTGAGTGCAGAGCCAGGAGTAACTTCTGACCATCGCTGGTATGATCCAAAAGGGCCAAAATAGATAGATAGATAGATAGATAGATAGATAGATAGATCACTGTCACTGTCACTGTCCTCCTGTTGTTCATCGATTTGCTCGAGCAGGCCCAGTAATGTCTCTATTTTGAGACTTATTGTTACCGTGTTTGGCATATTGAATACGTCAAGGGTAGCTTGCCAGGCTTTACTGTGCGGGAGAGATACTCTCGGTAGCTTGCCAGGCTCTCCGAGAGGGGCGGAGAAATTGAACCTGGCTCAGAAAGGCTGGCTGCGTGCAAGGCAAACGCCCTACAGTTGTGCTATTGCTCCAGCCAATAGATAGATAAATTTATAAAAAGAATTTTTATTTAGTGGGATTTAGAGTCCTACATATGTTAACTAGATAAAAAAGAAACATTTATTCTGTTGCTCAAATATCCCTTATACTTTCCTATGTATCTTTTAGCTAGTTGCCTATTAAGAAAGTAGTGTTAAATTGCCCGTATTATTATGAATGTACTCATTCCATTTATTCTATTCATTTTTACTCCCGTTGGAAGCAATTTGTTAAGTGCACTATGACTGCTTCATGAGTTGACTCATCAATTGGGGCATCTTCTTTTCTCTTGTAATGCTTTTGGCCTAAGAGCTAACTTTATCTGATCTTAGACTGTCGATATCATTCTTGCATAATGCATGATTTATATTTTCCATCATTTTACTTTCAGGTTTTCTGCATCCCTGATACATTTTTAAAATCACTGTGAGGGTTACACTTGGTGGTGGGGGGTACATGCAGTGCACTTAAACTACATGACTTAAGTCACATCTCCAGTACTGATAATTGTATATGCCTCTTGTAACAGCCTAAAGGTGGACTTTGTTTTGTTCTTTGTTTGGGCTTCTAAGTGAAATTTATTATCTATTTATATTCATCATAATAATGACAATGGGATTATATGATCTTATTGTTTTGTTCCTTGGGCTGGAGGATAGCACAGCAGTAGGGCGTTTGCCTTGCGCACAGCCAGCCCGGCCAAGCCGGGTTCGATTCCTCTTCCCCTCTCAGAGAGCCCGGCAAGCTACCAAGAGTATCTCGTCTGCATGGCAAAGCCTGGCAAAGCACGGCAAAGCCTGGCAAGCTACTCGTGATGTATTCAATATGCCAAACACAGTCTCAAAATGGAGATGTTACTGGGTCTGCTTGTTGTCTCACAACAAGTCTCAAAATGGAGACGTTACTGGGTCTGCTCAAGCAAATTGATGAACAGCGGGAGGACAGTGACAGTGTTTTGTTACTTATACTACCCATATCTTACTTTTTGTTCTATATTATATATAAATAATATATATGTACATATATATTATGCTTTTCCCTCTACATTCTTATTTTGGGTTTTGATTTTGGGCCATGGGCCACAGCAGGCTATGCTCAGGGGTTACTCCTGGCTCATGAATCACTCATGAATCACTCCTGGCAGTGCTCAGGGATGGGGGCAGTGCTCAGGGATGGGGCAGACCATAAGGAATGCTGGGGTTCAAATCAGGGTTGGTGGCATGCAAGGCAAGTCCCTCCAGTCCTTCTTGTTAGACTTTTAAAGGTAATTTATCTGGAGAGATAAAACTGTGGGGAGGACATTTGCCTTGGACATGACCAACCAGGATTTGATCCCCAGCATCCCACATGCTCCCCTGAGCTCAGAGGCAGGGGATAAGCCTTGAGTATTGCTGGTTGTGGCCCACAAATCCAAATAGTTAAAGAAAGGTAGCTTGTCTTCTTTGAGGAAAAGCAAAGGCTACTTGACATTTTTTCCTTTTTCGGTTTTTAGTCAAGGTTTTTTAAATTTTATTTATTTATTTATTTTTATTTAAGGTACTCTGTGGAATCTCAGGGAGTTTTGAACCGAACCGAAGCTTTTAGATCTATGCTAGTTCTCCTCAGTTTGATTTGCTACTTCCATACTCCATCTTTGTTGGCCTTGGAAAGCTAACTTCTACATATACCAATAGCTCTCATGGTCTCTGGTTTCTGGTTGGGTTTGGCCACTGAGAACATTAATAGGAAATCAGAGGGAAAGAAAAAAGGTCAGGATTCCTCTGGTTCCTTTTGTAGGAGGCTATCTTGGGTCTGCCATATCCCTTGACAAAAAGGCATTCTTCTTAAAGTGGCCTGTGCTATGTGAGTATTTAATGTTCCTTTTCCCCTCAAGTTTCTGGGCTTCGTAGTGTTGACAGCTCCAGTGTTGCTAGCTCCAGATTCTCACGATACTTGTCATTTGCCTGCCCACACCTAGCAATCCCTCTGTAAATGACACCTCTTTGATTCATGCCAATTAGAGAATACCATCTGCTTTATCTTGGCAACCTTGTGGATACAGTACGTAGTACCCAAAGGGAGCCTTTAGTGGTTCATTTTGTGTCAACTTGATTGAGCTCTGGTATTCGTATATTTGGTCAGACATTATTTGAATCAAAGAATGCATACAGACAGCTTCTAGAAGCTGAAAAAGGCAAGGACAGACATTCTTCCCTAAACCTTCCAGAAGAAACAACCTGGCGCATTCATTTTAGACTTTTGACCTCTAGCATTGTAAAATAAAACAAGTTTGGGATGCTTTCAGCCACTGAATTCATGACAATTTGTTATAGTAACAATGGGATATGAGTACAGCAATTAAGAACATTGGTCCTGCTATCAAAGTACTTGAGTTTAAGTTCAAATTACTTACTAGATCTAGGACTTCAGGCGAATGAGTTAAGCTATCTGTACTTGTTTCTTCTTGAGGAAGTGGGATAAATAACAGAATCAGGCCTGTTAAACAATGTTTTTTGGGGGGGTGAGGCGTCAGGGGGTTGGACCACACCTAAGGTGCTCAAGGCTTACTCCTGGCTCTGCTCAGGGATCACATAGGATGCTGTGGGTTAAACCTGGATCCATCTGCACGAAAGTCATGCTCCCTATCTGCTTTACTATCTCTTTGGCCCCTATTTAATGAGTTTTAAGGATGAAATCCTTAGGATCAACTGGGATTTTGTGATTTGGGGGTGGGGTGTGTGTCTTTGAGCCTCTCCTGTATGTCTGCTAAGGGATCATTCCTGACAGGATCAGGGAGCCGTACAGAGGCTGCAACGCAAATCATCTGAGTGAAAGGCAAGAGCCTTACCGTATTTTCTCTCTAGCTCTGGAAAGTAAAAATTTTCTTTTCTTCTTTATTTTTTTTGCTTTTTGGGTCACACTCGGCAATGCTCAGGGGTTACTCCTGGCTCTGCACTCATGAATTACTCCCGCTGGTGCTCAGGGTACCATATGGAATGCTGGGACTCGAACCCCGGTCGGCAGCGTGCAAGGCAAATGCCCTCTGTGCTATCGCTCCAGCCCCAGAAAATTAAGAGTTTTCAAGTTAATGTAACTATTGTACTCCTGCTAACATTTATTATTTAAAGCAGGCTATTTATACCTTCTCTCCAAGCAAGGTTTTTTTTTTTTTTACATAATCGAGGGGGGAAGGTGTAGGAACATGTACTCTAGGTACATCTATACAGCATTTCATTTGCTCCTTATAACCCAGTATGCGATTAGTCCATACTTCTCAGCTTTCACACCAGCAAAAACCGAGGTTGCACGAGGTTAATTCTCCAAGCAACAGAGTGGACAATCGGTCACCATTGCATGAACAACAAGGATGCGCTGAGTGAGAGGAAGCGAGCATGTGCAAAGAAGCGCAGCCACTGAGGCCCGCGACCTCGGTGCACGAAGGCGTTCGGAACTAACTGACGCGAGGCCATCCCCTTCCGACGCTCACTGGCCCTTTAACACCCGGCCCCACCTTCTAGAAAAGTCGAAGGCCGCGGGGAGACGCCTCCCTTTCTCCCACCCCCGGAAGGTGGCGCCCTTGCGTCACAGAGGTGGGGTCCACGTAGCAACGCCCCATACGAGGCTCGGGCGGGGCTGCGTCCGAGGCCTGCCTGCAGCCAGGAGCTTGAGCCCGTGAGCTCGGGATCGGCTTTGCCAGCCATGGAGGATTATCACCGTCCCGGCGAAGAGGTATCGCCCCCGGCCGCCGGCGGGCTCCCCCCACTGCCCGCCTGGGCGCCAGCGCCCGGGGAATCGCGGCCATCCGCCGGGAGGGTTGAAGTGCAGCGTCCTCTGACCCCGAGTCCTCTCCCGGGGCCCCGGATCCGTGCTGCAACCCCAACCCGGAAGTCCCGTGGGTGGTCCGGGGGCGGTGGGGAAACCGCTGGAATCGGAGGTGGGGTCGGGGCCGAGGGGTGGAAGCCCCGCGCGGGGTGCTTGGGCGTGGCGATGGGAAGGCGGGCGCCGCCTGTTTGTGGGCCACGGAAACCGGTTTTCCTAGCTCCTTCCCCGCCCCTCGCCCCTGGCTGTCCGCCAAGCAGGTGCCCGCAGCCCCCGGAGCCAGGCTAGGTGCAGAGCCCTGCCACCACTTGAGAAATCTCTCCCTGAGTGGCCCCGGGGAAGTTCTCAGGTTAGGAGCCCTGGCTGTGTGCCTCTGGCTTCTGGAAACCTCGCCGGAAGTCCCTGATGTCAATTGTTAGTTTCTTGCTAGTGCCCCGGGTCTCTGACTTGCTTGGTGCCCAAGAGTGACTTGCCCCAAGTGACAACTGTTAGAAAAGACACAGCCCCCGCCCTTTGAAATCCAGGCCTCTGACTGCACCACCGCGGCTCTTTAATCAGTGGGTGGATAAGGCCTGTTGGAGGCCTGCAAGGTCAGAATAGATGTTTTCTGGCCAGTAGTAGCCACAGGTGAGAGCTTGGGGCAAAGTGAAAGCAGACCATGGTGGAGGCACAGCACAGTATGCTGGCCTGCTTGGGCCCCTGAAGCTGCTTCTGGTTCACTGTGGCCCATTCATCATCTTTTGAAGATGGGCCCTTGCAGAAGCCAAACCACATTTAAAGGAATTCGTTCTGTGATGCTGCTGGTAGCAATCACACTGAAGGAGTTCTTATTTTAGAAAAAGACTTGAGGCACAAGAATCTCTCTGATTGGTTGACCCTTCTGCCCTATTCCCCCATACCCCGCAACATGTTACTTCCTGACTCCTAAGAGGGTTGGGCTGCAGTGCTTCTTAAAGAAGTAGATTCAAAAAGGGTTCCCTTCCCAGCATTGCATGTGGTCCTGAGCCAGCCAGGAGTGATCCCTGAGCGCAGAGCCAGGAGTAAGCCCTGGACACCACTGGGTGTGGCCCCAGAACAAACAAGCAAAACAAGTGTTTTTTTATTTTTATTTTTTTTGGCTTTTTAGGCCACACCTGGCAATGCTCAGGGGTTACTTTTGGCTCTGGTTACTTCTGGCTCTGCATTCAGGAATTAGTCCTGGTGGTACTTGCGAGACCATATAGGATGCCGGAGATTGAACCCAGGTCAGCCGCGTGTAGCTCTCCCCGCTGGAGTATCGCTCCAGCCCCATATTTTTTAAAAAATAAAGTCACAGAGATTCCCACCGACCTCCTGATTACATTTGCTGACCTTCCAAATTGAAGTGAAATAGGTATCTTACAATTCTATAGTTATATCTATATATCTTAGTGGCCAATTCTGAACATAAAGGACCCTATTATAAGATAACATGTTTATTTTAATAGAGTCAAATGTGAGTTTTTTTTTAAAAAAGTCCCTGATTAGGGTATGTTTATGCCTTTGTTAGTGGAATTCTGTGGTATAAATGATTTGAAAATATTTCATCTATTCAGTATTTTCAGAATGTGCTTGATTTTGAACTCATTTTAACTTGTATAGAGTGGGATTTACAAAATGATAATGTCATTAAGTACCTTTATAACGTTTCCATGGAAACCAATGTATTACCTAAAGTGCCTTGATTCAGATTTTCATCTTATCACACAAGCCTAATTCTCTACTCCAGGACACTGGGACATTTTTACAGTTGTTTTTAACTTATGAGTCTTTTCAAATTTAATTTGTTATTATTTTTGTTTGTTTTTGTTTGGGGCCCACACTCAGCACAGCTCAGGGATTTCTTTGGGCTCTGCTTAGGGTTCACTCCTGGCAGTGCTCAAGGGATCATAGATGGTGCCAGGGATCAAACCCGGATGGGCTGCATGCAAGACATAATCCACTGTACTCTCTCTTCAGCTCTGGCATATGGTATTTGTTTTGTTTTTTGCTTTTTAGCCACACCTGGTGATAACTTGGGGGTTACTCCTGGCTCTACACTCAAGAATCACTCCTATCAGTGAACAAGGGACCATATGGGATGTCTGGGATAGAACCTGGGTCGGACATGTGCAAGGGAAAAGCCCTACCCTGCACTATTGCTACAGCCCCTTAATTGTTTTTTTAAATTAAAGTTTTTACTGAAATATTGATTTTTATAACATAGAATACTTAATTTTAGATAATTGACAATTATAAAGAGGGTTCTCATATATTTTCTTCCTAGTCATACTTCCAAGACAGTTTCTCTGATAACTATCTTCCTCCACTGACTCAGGAGTCGTTCAAGTCATTTCAGAGGAAAGACATTGTCAGCTCTAAATTTAATTTAATTAAATTAAAATGTTAATTTTAAATGATCAGGTCTTCACGGAATCTTTCAATCAGAATCCTCACATTTTGCCTGGCATAAGTTAAAAGCAAAGTTAAAAATTTTCTTTTGAAAAAAAATTTTCTTTTGGGCTGAAGAGATAGTTGAGGTGACTTGCATTGTATTCATCTGTCCCTGTTTGATGCCCAGCACTATATCTTATCCCCCAAGCTCTACCAGAGCGACCCTCGAGCACAGAGCTAGGAGTAATCCCTGAACACCTCTGATATGACCCAAAACACAGAAGAAAAGCTTTTTAGGAGAAAGTTAGTTTTTAAGGTTTTTTTTTTTTCATTGTGGGGTGGGGAGCATACCTGGCAATGCTCAGGTTTATTCCTGACTCTACACTCAGAAATCACTTAGTGCTCAAGGGACCACAGGGGATGCTGGGGATTGAACCCAGGTCAGCCACATACAAGGCAAATATCTTTTTTTTTTTTTTTGCTTTTTGGGTCCCATCCAGTGATGCTCAGGGGTTACTCCTGGCTTTGCACTCAGGAATTAGTCCTGGCAGTACTCGGGGGACCGTATGGGATGTTGGGAATCAAACCCTAGTCAGCCACATGCAAGGCAAAGCCCTACCTGCTGTGCTATTGCTCCAGCCCCATCTCCTGACTTTTATAGCAATTCTCAATATAAGGTTTTTCTGAATCACTAGTTGTTTTGTAGTAAAAATGAGTTTCTTAGTCACTTCCTCAGGTCTAATAAAATCTACAGTTAAGGGATCTGTAGAGATAGTACAGTGGACAAAGCACTTGTCTTGCATACTGTTAAATTGGGTTCTACTCTAGCACCCCATATGGTCCCCCTGAACTCACCAGGTGTGATCCCTGAGTGCAGAGCCAGAAGTAAGCCTTGAGCACCCCCAATAATAAAATCTACAGGTAGGTCGGTGCACGAAGCATTCCGCAATATTTAAAAGTGTTGGCAGAGACATTAGCAGTTTCAGTACAACTGTAGGCCAGCCTGGAGTATTCTGTGTATCATCAGAACTGCAAATAAAAGGAAATCTGCACTGAGAACAATTTTGTCTTTTGTTTTTCCCCTTTAGGTTGGCTTCAATGCTGAGGAGGCTCACAATATTGTTAGAGAGGTGAGTGATACATCATCCAGAAGCTTGCTGTATTGATTGTTTTTAGCTGTGTTTTTGACTTTCAACACAAAATTGAAACCTTAGTATTTAACCTTACTGAAACCTTAGTATTAAAATAAGCATTTAAATCTATGTTCACTGACTATAGGGAGGGGCTTCTGTGTTTTGTTATATGTATTCAGACTTCCTCTGAAGGTGATGTTTTTAAGTATTCTTCTAAAAACCATATTTGCTGTTTTATAAAATTAGTAACCTATCTTTTGAGTAAAAATACTTTTATTCTAATAGGTCAAATAGTATTTAAAATTGTAATGCTACTCACATATACTTATATAACATTATTATATACTTTATATAGGGCTGGAGCGATAGCACAGCGGGTAGGGCGTTCGCCTTACAAGCGGCCAACATGGCCTATATTTGTGTATAATATATGTTTTGTATATATAATTTACCTGGGCTTGTCCATATAATTTACATGGACAAGCCCAGGTAAATTATATGCATATGTCAAATAAAAGACCTTAGAAATGTGTTGTTGTGTTTATATGTTTTTTATAAACTGATATGATAGTAATGAAAACTCTCAAAGGAATTATTCTGTACATGAAATATGACCCTTCTCTCAGGCAAAATTAGACAAGAAGTTCTCCTAGGAAATTAATTACAACAGGTCAACTTGCATTTTTCTACTTGAACAGACTGTGAGTAAGGGATTTATGAACATTTTAAATAGTACTGAGTTTTTTTTAGGTTTGAAAATAATTTATTTAGAATTAGAACTATAGCCCACCAAATTACAAATTTGTTTGATTCTTTGTTGGGGGTGGGTCACGCCTGGCAGTGCTCAGGGCTTGCTCCTGAAGGGCTTGGGACTGATATGTGGTGCTGGGGATTGAACCCAGGTCAGCTGTGTGCAAGGCAGGAATTATACCTACTGTAGTATCGCTCTACCCCCTACCTTTCCCCGTGTAATGAAACTATTTTCCAAATTCTTAATAATAGGACGATATTTATTGTTCTCATCAACACAAATGTTTTGAAGACAAAGCAAAGTGAATGTCAATTTATTCTCTTAGCTTTTGCATATTAAGCTGCAGAAATCTTTCTAATATTTTAATTTTGTGCAGAGAAGCTTATGACTAGTGGTATGACCTCCTTGTCTACCATTCTTATTCAATTGCCATTGTATTTGTTCATCTACTACCCATCATAACCAAGAAATTTCACCACTGCTGCTGTTGTGAAGTCTGAATGCATCTAGTTAAATTAAATCACTTAATATTGAGTCATCTTTTATTCATTTGCTTGTTTTGGGGCCCACCCAGCAGTGCTCAGGGGTTACTCCTGGCTCTGTACTCAGGGATCTCTCCTGGCGGTGCTCAGGGGACTATATGGGATGCAGGAATCAAACCCGGGTTTGCTGCATGCAAGGCAAGTGCCTTACTATCTCTCTGGCCTCTATTAAGTCACCTTTAACTGTGCCAAATCTTAGGAAAAAATGAAACAGCCCAGAAGGTTGACCTGCCTTTAGTTTGCTTTAGCTTGGGCTGCTCAAAGGTATCAGTTTGTGAATGGCAAAGCCAGAATTAAAGTTTCCATCACCTTTCAGCCAGTGTCCTCCTAACTCTCATCATTTTTTTTAAACATTCTAGGGCAGTAATTTGAGTAACTTTACTCTCTTAAGCATTTTAAACTTCTCTTTTTACATTTTATCATTAGTAAGGGTTTTTTTTTACTATCTCACTTAAGATTTTATTAGAATTGTGCCTTTGTATCTTTAATTATAGTAAATGGAAGCTCTGTGTGTGTGTGTGTGTGTGTGTGTGTGTGTGTGTGTGTGTGTTGGCGTGTTGGGTGTGGGTCTTATTAAACTGGATTCTATAACTGAATCCAGTAGCTGTTTAAAAAAATCTAGGCTCTATTACTTGAATATAAGGTAACAGTTTAAACAGCTAAATAGATATAAGATAGATAAATATTGAGCGTTCCCACTTACATGTGGAATCTGAAAAAGCAAAACTAATAAGGGCTGAAGCCATCGTGCAAATGGGTAAAGTGCTTGCCTTGCATGTGACTGACCTGGGTTTGATGCCCAGCATCCCATATAGTTTCACTGGGAGTGATCCCTGAGCAAGAGCCACAAGTAATCCCTGAGTATTTTCCAGTGTATAACACAAAACCCAAAACAAGCAAAATTATATACAGTGGACTGATGGTTGCTAGGAGCAGGGGTTTAGGGACTAGGTCAGAGGAAGAAAAGCCTGTCAAAGGGTGCACACCTCCAATATCTAGCACAGTGTATTGAATAATGGGAAGTAGCTGAGAGATCTTTTTTGCATTTTATTTCTTTATTTTTTTTAATTGAATCACTGTGAGATACAGTTACAAAGCTTTCAGGTTTGAGTTTCAGTCATACAATGATCGAACACCCATCCCTCCACCAGTGCACATTTCCACCACCAATGTCCTCAGTGTTTCCCCCACCCCTCATCCCACCCTTTCCCCTCCCTCTATGGCAGACAATTTCCCCCATACTCTCTACTTTGGGCATTATGGTTTGCAATACAGATAGCTGAGAGGTTATCATGTTTGGTCCTGTATGTACTTTCAACACACATCTTCCATCCTGAGCAATCCCTCTAACTATCACTGACTTAGTGATCCCTTCTCTATTCTAGCTGCCTTCCCCAGCTCATGAGGCAGGCTTCCCACTATGGAGCAATATCCCTGGCCCTTGTGCCTACTGTCCTTGTCATGTTATTTTATATTGAGAGGAGATCTTAAGTGTTCACACCTGTATCAGCTATAAGGAGATGGATGTGTTAACTATCTACTGTTATCATTTCACAATATATACATATATCAAATTATATTGTACTCTCTACACTAACACAGGGTTGTGTGACAGTTATATCTCAATAAAACCGGAAGAACAATAGCAATAATGAAGTATAATATCTAACATTACTATGTGCTTTACTCTGTGGCAGTCACTGTATTTGAACTCTTGGATTGATTATTTCCTCCCATTCTCAGGAAAATCTGATATAATGAGGCTGTTAAAGATTAGGAAATCCTAATCCTGCTTTAAGGATTAGGAAAATAAGGATTTAATTAAGGGAAGTATTTGGGTGCTTTGCAAAAGGTCACCTAGCTAGTTAGGTAGCAGAGGTGACCTATGATTATAGTACTAAACTAGTGCTGTGGAAAATTAGACCACCTGAAAAGTAATATTTATTGATGATTTACATTTAGCGGCAGATGTGCTGGTGGTTTTATAGCTCTGCAGTTGCTCAATATGAATAAGAATATAATTATTATACACGAGCATTCCATTTTAAATTGGTCTGAACCTTTGTTTTTGGCTCAAATCCCAGCTGCTACAAAGCTGTTATTTAACCAATGGATATCACTTTTTAAAAATCTCTATCGCCACTTTATACTATGGCATAACTTATCACTTTGATTAGTCTTCTTCCTTGTGTTAGAGTTGATTAGTTTCTCTAGAAACTCAGTTAAGTTCTTTGCAATGGAAGCCATGTCATATTTACCTTTATAGACCCATAGTATCTTTTTTTTAAAATGTAGAAGTACTGCTACTTATTCAGCCATTGATTAAGTTGATTGAATTGGGCAATGAACTCCACAAACCATAGTATCTTAAAGAGTACGCTAAGGCATGTAGAAGTGCTTTGAAAATTCTTAATAGCACATAATAAAACATCTAGCAGATACCTCTTTTCTAAGATGCTTTGTTGGGTTTTAAATGCTTTTCCTATTTTGAATACATTTTTGCTGCAATTTGTGCTTATGTACCTGTCCTCTGCCATTTCAGTGCATAGACGGCGTCTTGTCTGGTGAGGATTATAACCAGAACAGCATCAATCAATGGACTGCAGCAATTGTGGAACAATCCTTAACTCATTTGGTCAAGTTGGGGAAACCTTATAAATACATTGGTAAGTGTCAATATACTTTCTCATTAATTTTCTTACCATTGTCCTTGAATAAAAGATAAAAAGGTAAAGGCACTCCCGTTGATCATCAATTTGCTCGAGCGGGCCCAGTAACGTCTCCATTGGAGACTTTGTTGTTACTGTGTTTGGCATATCGAATACATCACGGGGAGCTTGCCAGGCTCTGCCGTGCGGGTGAGATCCTCTCGGTAGCTTGCTGGGCTCTCCGAGAGGGGCGGAGGAATCGAACTCGGGTCGGCCATGTTGGCCGTGTGCTAGGCAAACGCCCTACCGCTGTGCTATATCGCTCCAGCCCTTGAATACTTTTCTGAATTTAGAAAATGTAAATCAGTGGTAGACACTAAAGTTGAATACTAATTTGTTATAAATGACTTTTAACTTATTCACCCAAGTTAGTACATGATAATAACTGAAAGATAGAGATCTTTCTCTACTCAAAAGTTATTTGAGGGGCTGGAGCGATAGCACAGAGGGTAGGGCATTTGCCTTGCATGCAACCAACCTGGATTCAGTTCCCAGCATCCCATATGGTGCAGAGCCAGGAGTAACCCCTGAGTATTGCTGTGTGTGACCCAAAATGCGCAAAAAAAAAAGTCATTTGAACTCCTACTGCCATCTACCCATGCTTGGCAGCAGCTCTTTTACACTTATAGTGGTTATCTTTTCATAGCAAAGTCCCATTGATCCCACGTGGCCTCCTTTGAGTAGTCTCATGCCTCCTTATACATACAATTGTGAAGTGTCATGCAATAATTGCAAAGTGGATTCTTTCTTCATTTCCTTTTATTTTGTTGGAAGGGGAAGGGCATATCTGGCTCTGCATTCATAAATTAAACCTAGCAGGCTCAGGGGACCATATAGGATGCTGGAGAACAAATCTTGGTTTGCCTAGTGCAGGGCAAGCACCCTACCCACTGTACTATCTCTCCAGCCCCTCTTTCTTCATTTTTTTCTTTTTGTTTTTTGAGCCATGCCCAGTGGTGCTCAGGCTCGAGGATAAATATGGATGCCAGAAACTGAACCTGGGTTGGCCATGTGCAAGGCAAGCTTACCCACTCTCCAGCTCCATCTTTTATTCATTTCTGTGTCTGAAGAATGCCCAGGGACAAGGCACATAATTTGGCCAAGAATTTTTCTATAATACAGTCATCACCATATAGCAATTGGCAATAGATTGGATCCAGTGAGGTCAAAATCTTGATAGATAATCATGATGAGAGGCCTATTTTCTTCAGTCTCTTTGCTGACTGCTTTCTTTCCAGTGATTTTTATAGGTTTAGAGCTCTGGACTTAAACACATAGATTGTGGGGTTATCGTTTCACTTGTTCTTAAAGTGCTGTCATCTCTGATTTTGTTTTTAGTCACCTGTGCGGTGGTCCAGAAGAGTGCCTATGGCTTTCATACTGCCAGTTCATGCTTTTGGGATACTACATCTGATGGTAAGAGACCTTAAGTTGATTCAATCAAAATCCGCCTTCTTGGAAAATGAAACTGTACTTCTCAAACTAAAGACTTTATCAACAAAATTGTTTTGTACCTAGTACAAAAGTGCACCTTCAGATAAATTGTGAAGATGGAATTGATTTCAGGAAATAGTATATAAAATCCTCTGTGAATGTATACATATTCCCTGATAACTTTGATGTTTTGCTGAAACTTCATTGTCTCTTTTTGTGTGTTTTCAGGAACCTGCACTGTAAGATGGGAGAATCGAACCATGAACTGCATCGTTAATGTCTTTGCTGTTGCTATTGTTCTGTAACAGACTTAAAATGTAAAACCTGTGTCAACCTGACAGTTTATATCAGTGCATTCTTTGTAAACAAAAAATAGTTATTAATGTGCTAGACAAATGTGCAATGTGCTTCAAAGCTATCAACAGAAGCTGATTATCATTAAGCCAGTAATTTCTAATAGGATGGTTTATATTTTCTAGAGTACCACTTAAATAGAAAAAATTTAATGTTAGAAATAAACACAGGAATATGGCATTACCTGAAAATGCAACTTTAGATTTATACCAGCTTTTGACTAATCATATGTACCTAAAGAGATGGGGAAAATTCTTTCAGAAAATAAGATTTCTCTGGGACCAGAGAGATAACACAGTGGGAAAGGTGATTGCCTTTGTATGTGGCTGACCCAGATGCAATCTCTGGCATCCCATATGGTTCCCTAAACACCTCCAGGAGTCATTCCTGAGAGCAGAGCCAGGAGTAGCCTCTGAGCAGCACCAGATGTGGCCCAAAAACAAAAATAAAAAGAGAAAATAAAATTTTCTTTCAGCTAGAGAAGTTCACAGGAATAAACATAAGAACAAAAAACTCATAAAGATAAATATGGAGAAAATAGGCTATTCTTAGTCTATTTCTCCCACTGTACAATTAAGTACATATGATTTAGTGGTAAGTAATTCTTTTCTATGAACTAATATCACAAAGCAAATGTTACTAATGTCTTACTTTGCAAATTGTCAAATCCATTTTTTATTTGAAGTTCTTGAATTTGCATTTTTGGGTGAATTACATCTGCTAACCTGAATTCCCTAGTTAAAATTAATTACCATGTGGTAAGAAGTATATGGTACTCTTAACAGCTACCTTATAGTTTACTCATTGCATATGGAAGAAACTTTTATTCAATTCCTACTATGAGCATATTTCCATAAGCATCATAATTGTAGCACTGTAGCACTGTCCTCCTGTTGTTCATTGATTTGTTCAAGCAGGCACCAGTAATGTCTCCACTGTGAGACTTGTTACTGTTTTTGGTATATTGAATATGTCACGGGTAGCTTGCCAGGCTTTGCCGTGCGGGTGAGATACTCTTGGTAGTTTTCCGGGCTCTCCAAGAGGGGCAGAGGAATCGAACCCAGGGTGGCTGCATGCAAGGCAAATGCCCTACCTGCTGTGCTATCGCTCCAACCCATCATAACTGTAAATATGCTATTTAATAATATAAGTTTTTATGCCATCTGTTCAGTTGGACAACTAACTTTGAGGGTAAACATTGCTCTATGAGAATGGGGAGAAAGTCAAGCTGGCTGCCCATGTTGAAGCAAGCAAAATAAAATGCACTTATTGCTGAGAGAATGATAGAATTTTAAGAATCTCTTGTCGCAAGTAAAACATACTGAAAATATGCAGCTCATATTTAAAGGCCTTCTTAGCACCTTATTATATAAATTTGTTCTTAGCTATAACCATATACATAGCTTTAAGTATTTACATGGAGTTCATGGTCATTAAAGTATAAATTAAAATATACAATCACTAGCAGGTTATAAGATATCTCAGGGCTTAGGAAATGTAGTTAAACTTATTAAAGAAATAAAGATTGTAATACTATGTTATACAGCTGGCCACCAAATGCGAAGTCAATCCTTTTTCTAACCATGACAGCAAAATCATTTGCATATCACCACAAACACTAATACATACAGAATTGTATTTCTCATTGGATGTTGGAAGGGGAAAGAAAAGCTTAGTATTGGTATTGACTAGGTAGTATTCTTGTAAGAGTACTATGTATGTTTGATATTTTTCTGAGTAATATTTTAATGTTTAAGAAGACTTTTACAAAAATACAATAGAATGTAATGCAATGATCTACATTTTTGGCATGTCAAAGTGCTTATAATCAGTACCTTTTTATTACTCTACTCTGGCTGGCTTTTGTGCCTATGTAGATTACCATAGTGATCAAAATATTTGCAGTTAAGACTCGCTTTTGATAATTGTTATTTAAGCCAGATTTAAAAGAATAATGATTAAATATACCTCGTTAACTTGCTTTCTGCTGTTTCTAGTTAAAATGTAATAAATATTATCTTTCTGTGCTGTACTTTTGTTTCTGGCTAGCTGATTGATGACTAAAGAAATGACATTGTGCTTACTCTAACAAACTGAATAGGAAGAATGTGGAAGAAAAATGAATGTCGGGGTCCAGAGCAATAGCACAGCAAGTAGGGGACTTATCTTGCACTCGTTAAACCAGGTTCAGTCCCATAGGGTTCCCCTCCCCACCACCCCCAGCTCACCAGGAGTGATCCCTGAACACAGAGCCAGGAATAAGCCCTGAGCATTGCTGGGTGTGGCCAAAAAATAAAAAAAAGAAAAATGAATGTCAGACCACATAGACATGCTGTACACAACAAATACCATTAAAATAGCAACTAAAGCCCAGTAGACACTATTTCAGCATAAGTAGTAGCTTCTATTTTGGGTTATTTTGTTTTGTGATTTTAACACAAATTTTATGTTAAAGTCAATATAAATAGATTCTGAAACTACTAGCTTTTAATGACTGTTTTTTGGCAAGGAAATTTGTCTTGTTAACTTGCAATTGAGTTGTTGCTGTTTGTTTGATTTTTTTAATTAAGGACTTTAAGTATGTAAAATTAGGGTATTCAAATGTAAGTACTAACTGGAATTTTTGTAAAGCTGTAATTTTATGTTTGTAAAGTAGCAGTATGCTGCCCTAAGTGATGGCAACATCTCATTACATTTTCTCTAGTAAAAAGTATTTTTCTGCTCCTCTTTCCAAGTTGGGTATTACCTAATTTTGAGCCACAGAAAGTATTTTCATCACCGTCATTCATAATCACACTAAACGTAAACTTATAATGCTGCTACAGATTACATTTTCAAACTTTGAGTAAAAAAGCTGTTTCTTATCACAGTTTTCAGAATATAAGAGAAAAACTTACGACTTCTTATGGCAAACTAGGTCTGTTTTATAATGATGCCAAAGCAGTGTAAGAGATAACTTGAAAATTTCACTCTGTGTCTTCGAATCTACCAAAGGAAACTTTGTTTTATAACCCAGAAGATGCAGTTCTACTTGATGTTAAAAAAGTGTATAATTTTAATGTCTGGTCATTGAGGAAAGTTGACCTTTACATATTTATGAAATTCTCTATAAAGGAATTTAAAACACTAGAATGACTACTTCAATTTACACTAACCCCATTGACCAGGAGATTCTGATTCCCTTGTCTGATTGTAAACCCTCAAATTCTCATTATCTCATGTCACTGCAATTGTTCCTAAAATACATAGAATATATTGACAATCCACACCTATTTAGAAATGGCCCTAATTATTTCATGAAGAGTTTCTTCCTAAAAGGTTTGGGTTTTATATTTGTTTTGGTTTCTGGGCCACATCTAGCAGTGCTCAGGCATATTACTTGCTCCTGTGCTCAGGGATCATGCCTAATAAGCTTTGGGGACCAGATGTAGTACCAGGGATAGAACCTGAGTAGGTTACTTGCCTGGCATGTACCATCTTTCTGGCCCCCTAAGGGTCTTTAAGGGTCCCAGAGACAATGCCAGAATTTTGTATTACATTTGCAGTACCTTTGGTGTGGTATCTTTCCTATTTAACTCCATCCATGGGCAATTATTCCAACTCTAGATTCCTTAAAAACTGAGACCTCAAGGAATAGGGGATGGACTGATCCTTCTCATCCCCCAACCCCCATGGGACCCTGGAGGTCACGCCTACAAACCACCCCCAGCTGCTACGGAAGCTCCTTAATGGCTATGGTCCAGAGACACACAAAAGAATCTCCTAACCGAGCAGTTCGCTGCAGAGATTTCTCCAGACCCTAATTATCTAGAATTTTGGAGTCTCAGGAGCATGTGGCAGCATGACATCTTTAATGCTATTTATAACAAACAATATAAAAGAGAGTATGGGGGAGATTTTCTGCCATAGAGGCAGGGGGAGGAGGGGGATGGGGGGATACTGGGGTTCTTGATGGTGGAAGATGTGCACTGGTGGAGGGTTTGGGTGATTGATCATTGTATGACTGAAGCTCAAGCAGGAAAGCTTTGTGACTGTATCTCATGGTGATTAAAAAAATAATAGAATAATATAATACAATTAACATTCTGGGGCTGGAGCCATAGCACAGCGGGTAGGGCGTTTGCCTTGCACGCAGCCAACATGGCCAACACAGGTTTGATTCCTAGCATCCCATATGGTCCCCCGAGCACTGCCAGGAGCAATTCCTGAATGCATGAGCCAGGAGTAACCCCTGAGCATCGCTGGTGTGACCCAAAAAGCAAAAAAAGAAAATATTAACATTCTGAATAAAAATAAAAAAGTAAAATGGAGTTCATGCCCAGTTCAATCAGCTTAACGAATGGCTGAATAAATAGCAGTTATTTATTAAAAAACATTAAAAAAAAGTGAGACCTTATGGGCTGGGGATATGTCTCAGCAGTAGAGTGTTATATTTTGGTTATATGAAGTCCTGGGTTTGATCTCCAGCACTGCAGAAAAAAAGAAAAAAAAAAACCCAAGGTATGTGAGTCAGGGGGTGTGGTTCAACAGTAGAGCACATGCTTTGCAGCCATGAGACTTGGGTTTGATCCCTAGCACCACAAAACAAAAATACAGATACATCCAACAAAAGCTTTGAAATAGGGACTATTGAAAAAACGAAAAGGGGGCAAGTAGGTGGAAAGGTGTCTCCATGTTAGAGCACTTGCCTTGTATGCACAAGGTCCTGGGTTCAATTTCCAGCACCACCACCTCTTCCTACCTGTCCCTGCCCCTTCCCCAGTGAAACTTTATGGGGACATTCCTTTGCAGCTCCTCTTTCTCAAGTCAGGAAATTTGATACCTGAGCTTTGCAGTGATACACAAGTTTCATCAGACCAATACATAAAGTTTATTCCTTGTTTCAACTTTTTTAGATATATTTTAATGCATACTAGATTCTGACACACTTCAGCCTGCATATCTTCAGGCAAACTTTTATGTGAAGTAGTATGATTCATAAAAAATCAATTTATTGGTACATAAGAACTTGCATGAATCACAAAGAGTTATTCTGGACAAGAAAAGCCAGTCCCAAGGGACTGGAGCAGTAATACAGCAGATAGGGTACTTGCTTTGCACATGGCTGACCCAAGTTCAATCCCTGGCACCACATATGATCCCCCATTACCACGAGGAGTGATCTCTGAGAACTGCCAGGAATGGCCTCCAAACAACCAGTCCCCAAAGAGCATGTATTTCCGAGGTTATGGTGCTTATATTGCACATGGTTGAACTGGTTGGATTTCCAGCACTTCATATGGTATTCCTGAGTATCACCAGATGTGACCCCGAGCACTGTCAGGTGTGGTCCCCCAACAGTAAAAGAACGCATACTATATGGATTCATCTATGTAACTTTTTTTTTCTTTTTGGGTCATACCCCGGCAATGCACAGGGGTTATTCCTGGCTTATACACTCAGGAATTACTCCTGGTGGTGCTCAGGGGACCATATGAGATACTGGGAATAGAACCCGGGTTGGCCGCGTGCAAGGCAAATGCCCTACCCGCTGTGCTATCTCTCCAGCTCTGAAAAGAAACCCTTTTATAGCCATAATCAAAATTTAGGAATAAAATATTGGAGTTCTAATTTAGTTTTGTAAGAAATTGAGAAATATGGATTATGATTAGAAATCTCTCAATTTCAAAATCTTAATATTTTTCCAGCATTTATGTATGAACTTATATGGGCCAAATAAGTAGTATGTGAGTAATGGAAAAATAAAGAGACAAGGATAAAAGCATATAACAATTAAAAATTTTTCTGTTGGAGAAGGGATCTTGCTGGGGGAAACTAGTCTTTTTTTGTTTGGTTTTGGTTTTGGCCCATACCCGGCAATACTCAGGGATTACTCCCAACTCTGCATTCAGGAATTAATCTTGGCAAGGCTTGGGGGACCATATGGGATGCTGGGGATCAAACCCGGGTCAACCGCATACAAGGCAAATGCCCTACCTACTGTACTATGACTCTGACCCCATGGGGGAAACTAGTCGTAATACTGAATCCCTGGGTTATAACTGCTAAGCAGAAACATACTTTGGTGCATCATCTGCAAAGAGGAAAATAAGGAAAAACTTCTCCACTTCCCAGGTCAGGAGTAAATAAGAGTAAAGAAAGGTCAGGATTGTTACACGAAGTGATTATTGTTCACAGAGAGAATCATATGGCAGAAAATATCAGGAATGGGATTTAGTATTGCTTTAGTAACACATAACATGGATTCTGATTCTCTTCAACACTCTTGTATCCTAAAATTGTACAGGAGAAAGCAAATACCTGTGGGTCAAAAGAGCCCATGAGTCATTCATGTTTCATGGTCTATGCAGATTCAAGTTTCTGCCAGTCCCTACCTTCCCTTCCAACCTGATCCCAGTCTCAAACGATTAACTAATGTGGTCAGGCACTCAAATTATTCCACCTTGCTTATTAGCAAGGGGAATAAAACTAAGCCAACTATTGACTTTGGCTGAGTCAATATGTCTGGGAGCAGCTGTTTCTTGGGAAACCGTGATAGTATGCACTAAAGAGTTACCATAGAGCTATTCTATGAATCATTAATATGCACTTTTTGGAGGACAATTTGGCAGCATCCATCAAAATTTTAAATGTTATGGACCACATTTGTTATAATCTATAAACCTAAAAGAATAATATGGCTGGATAAAGAAAAATAAAAGAATGTTCTTGCAATACCATTTGTAAAAGCACATTATAAACAAAAACAACAAATGTCTGCTGATAATGGAAAGTGATAAGAAAATTATGGAGAAAGAAACTGTATCTTTTTACTCTATCTCTTATGGTTCCAAACATTTAAATAATTGAATGTAATTTGTAAGTTTAATTTAAATGATACAACACGGGACCAAAGAGTACAGCGGGTAGGACATTTGTCTTGCATGCGGCTAACCCAGGTTTGATCCAGAGTGTCCCATATAGTTGCCCAAGATCACCAGGAATGATCTCTGAGTACAGAGCCAAGAGTAAATCCTGAGCACTGTTAGGTGT